GGGATACCAAGCTGGGTCAAATAGAGCCTCTAGTTTCAGTTTTTTTGGGAACTTCTACCCTGATTTGTGAGGTGCCATTTCTACCAGCCATGTGCCGACTCTGTCGTTGAGAGGAGCAGGGTCATTATTTCTTAGGCCATTCAGTGTGTTGGTGTTACAGGATATGTTTGCAGTAATGGGCCAAAAAGTCAAGTGCTCACAAAGATGCTCAGAAGAGTCATAATCTACCTATGATGGTGTGGGGATGGGGTCCTGGGGAGTTTTGTGCCCCGTGGAAGTGTGAGGTCAGGTGCAGGAAAATGCTCTGGATACAGCAGCATCACAATCAAGCCGGCAGACTTGAAGTTTAGATGGGAGGGAGCCTCTGGGAGTTGCTGGAGCATTGGCCCTGCCCCTTGAGGGGGTCTCCCTCTGCCTTGGAAAGCCTGAGGACAGTACCTCCAGCCTGGGCAGGGTAATGGAAACTGAGTGCAGAAAGGGCTAGTTCTGAGTATTTTGGGGGTAAAGCATTAAATAATTGTTCATTGGTTTGTTTTTTCCATTTTCTGAGATGGGGGCTTGCTATTTATTCCAGGCTGGTCTAGAGCTCACTTTGTAACCCAAATTCTGATCCTCCTGCCTCAGCCTCCCAAGTGCTGGAATTATAGGCACCATCACACCCAACTATCATTAAAAATCGTGAGTTTAGAAGCTCAAACAATGATATAAGGTTGTTTTCAGCCTATTTATTCTGACAAAATATCTACTGTCCAAAACATTCTTTAGTATCAAGAAAGTGCCTGTCCCAATCAGAGAACCAGCATTTTAAAAAATTAAATTAAATTTAGTTTTCAAATGATACATAAAAGCAATGTTTATATAATTATCAGATAGTATGTGACATTCTGATATATATGTATACTACACTGCATAATGCATAATGTTTAAATCAGGTTGAACATATCTGTCTCCACAAACATTTATCATTTTCTCATGATGAAAGTACTTGACTACTTTTTAAAATTTACTTTTTATTGTTTTTCCTTTTTTTTTCTATTTTGGCTTTTTGACATAAGATCCCACTATGCAGTTCAGGCTGGCCTTGAGCTCACTGTGTAGCCCAGGCTGGTCTCAAATTTGTGACTATCATCCTCAACCTCCCAAGTACCGGGACTATAAGTGTGCGCCACAATGTTCCGCTCCTCTTTTAGCCTATTAAAACACACACTCCACTACCACTTTCTGTAGTTACCCCACTGTTTCATTGCGCATCAGAACTTCTTAGTCCTAAGTGAGACTCATTACCATTGACAAAGAGCTTTCCATGCCCCCTTTCTGTCTATTCCCCAGCACACTGGTGCCCCACCCCACTCTCCACTTCCACGAAATCAACAATGTAGATGTCACATATGAGAGGCTGTGTGGTACTTGTTTCTCTATGTTTGGGTCATTGCATTTAACATAATCATCTCCAGTGACATGTTATCATAGATAACAAGACTTCATCCTTTTATGGCTGAATAGTATTTCATTCTGTATGTGGATTACATTGTCTTTATTCACCAGTTAATAAACACTTAGATTGTTTCTATTTCTTGGCTATTGTGAATAGGGCTACAGTAAAATCCTTTGATTATGACTCCATAAATTTAGCCAAAGTGTAAAAATTGTTAGAAAAGAAAACAGATTCAGTGGCAATTCTTTAAAGGGTCTTTTAGCCATGCATACCTTGATTTGTAGGTCCACATTTACGGCATAGTGAAGCATTGGACCTGTAGCAGGGAACGTTAGATAACAGCTCTGCAGAGTAGCTCAAAGGAAAAAAGTAAGGTGGATCCACTACTTGTGAGCGATGTGATCTCGAGCAGATTATTTAACTTCCATCCTAGTATATAGGGTTTTTATGTTCATTTTTCCATTTTTAGACATTTTAATTGTTTTGATTTTTTTATACAAGAATTGAACCATGATCTCACACTTGCCAAGCAGGTGTTTATGCCACTGAGCTAAACCAGTGGTGCACATGTGTTTAATCAATGAACAACACCGACACATCATTACTAACTGAAGATCATGGTTTACATCAGAGGTCACTGCCTTGAACATTCTGAAGTTTGACAAATGTATGATATCGTGTATCTACCTCTGCAGTGTTACAAAGAATAATTTCACTGCCCTAAAACTTTCCAATGTTCCACTTATTTTTCCCTCTCCTCCAACCCATGGCAATCTTTTATCTTTTTACTGGCTCCATAGCTGCACTTTCCAGAATGTTCTTTAGGTGAAATGATTCAGTAACTAGCCTCTTCAGATTGCTTTCTTTCAAGAAGAGGAGAGCTGCTTATCACATGGTGGTCTGCAAGCAGAGAGACCTAGTATGTTTTTGTCTGAGGAAAAACTTTCAATGGTGAAGATTTAGTTTTTAAGGCCACACTCATTTTGCTCTGTTTCTTTTTGGTGTCTTTGTTTGTTTGAGACAGGGTCTTGTTGTGTAGTTCAGGCTTTGAACTCAGCATCTAGCCCAGGCTGGCCTTGAACTTGAGGCAATTCTCCTGCCTCTGCCTCCCAAGTGCTGTGATTACACACATGTACTACCATGCCTGGCTTACTGTGTTTCTTTTTAAAAGTATGACGTTTGCAAGAGATACAGGGCAGGTATTTGTCAATTGGGACACATTACTTCTTTATATATATATTTTTTGTCTTTTTCCTTTTTATCGGTACTGGGGATTGAACTCACAACTGCCTGCTTCCAAGGCAGGCGCTTATGCCGCTGAGCTAAACCTCTAGCCTCTTTATATTTTTAATAAATGAATATTTACCTATCTGGAGTCATAGGATTATAAAACCCCGGTCACCTAAGTGACCATTTCTGACCTATTAATACTGGCTTGGGGGTGTTTTGAGGAACATACCACATCTAGGCCTGACTCCAGACCAGCTGAATCAGAACCTTAAGCGATGGAACCAAAAGGCATCTCTACAAGTCCAGTCAGGGAGGTGAAACACAGCTCTAGTCCCACAGTTTCATTTTATAGATAAGGATACAACAGTCAAAGGGATAAAGCCACTTCCCTAAAGTCACACTGCCAAGAAGAGAGCCCCTACACCCAGTTCCTCTGACTGCCAGTTCTATGTTCTTCCCACCATTCTCTCTTCTCCTGGAATTTAGGGTTTTACTGAACATTAAATTCATGCAACTTCCAGTGGCGGGAGAAGAGCTGAAGTCCATCAGCAGGGATCAGTGGAGCAATTTCTGAGGAATCAAGTGGGTTATGTGTTCCCTGAAGACCACTGTACCCAGGACGCAACACTGGCCAAGTGCTTGCTATTAATGGTGGGGCAGTCATGACATTTTACTAGAGGCAATGACTAATAAATACCACAGCTTATGTCAGTCCTGTGTTGGGCAAATCACTTGCTCATGGCTTATTCTCACCTGTGATGGACAACATTCAGTGGTAAGTGTCCTCACTTTCAGGAGTTAGTAACATTAGAGCAAAGAATAGGTTGGAATTAGGGCTAGGGCAGGGTTACAGGTCCCATGTAAGAAATGGTTAAACCTATAAACTTCCCCAGAAAAATATACATACATAAATGTTTCCTGTAGCTGGGTGTGGTGGTGCAGGCCTGTATTCCCAGCATTTGGGAGGCTGAGGCAGGAAGATTGCCACAAGTTCAAGGCCATTTTGAACTGTTTAGCAAGACCCTGTCTCAAAAACAAAACAAAATAAAAAATGCTGTATGTAATTTCCAAGGATTCACCGAATGTCTCCACCCTACAAACTCCTGTTAGGGCTAATTTATAGACCCTAGATTAAGATCTCCTGGACTGGATGATTTTGAACCTGTATTGTAGTGTTTCTAATGTGGTCCAAGGACCAAAGCATCTGACTCACTTGAAATGTTTGTTTTAATAAAATTCTTAGCAGAATGTTGCCATAGACAGCTGTAATCCCAGGTACTCTGGGAGGCAAAGCAGGAGGACTTCAAGTTCGAGTCTGGCCTGGGGTACTGAGTGAAGTCCTGTTTTAAAATTCAAACCAACCAACCAACAAGAACAGACTTGTAGGATTGCCACAGACCTTGTATTTCTAAAACTTTGGGGGATTTATGTACAGGAATATGCAAACAAACAAATCTTGAGGTAATTCTTTTGGAAACTAATATTTGAGAATCAGTATTTTATTCTAGCTAGAGGTTTATATGGCTTTTAAATGCTTTCATCTGTTAACTTAGGTTTTGTGTGTTCACTTGATAAGTATACCAAATACTATGTTTAGTACAAATGCATTACAGAATATTTGTGTATACGTGTAGGAAATATATTTGTGTGTGTGTGTGTGTGTGTGTGTGTGTGATGTTAACAGTCTCTTTTCTTGTCTTTCATCTTTTTGAGACAGGATCTTGATCTGTAGCGCAGGCTGGCCTCAAAGTCATGGTGATTCTCTTGCCTCTGTCTCCTGAATGGTGGAATTACAGCTGTGAGTCCCTATGCCCAGCCAACAGTGGCTTTGAGTGGTTCATCTTTCTTCTCTTTATCCTTCTATTCTTTATTTCTCCCATTCTTTTCTTTCTGTGTTTAAAAAGACACTTCCTCTTTCTGAGTTCAATTTCCCCATCTAAGAAATAGGGTGTTGCAACTTCGTGAACTAGGAGTGGTCAGTGACTCTATAGCTCCTGGCACATCTAATCCTGAACTGCCTAGGCGGCTGTGACGTTTGGAGAATAATCATGTGTTATTTTATATGTATTACGTTGAGATGCCTATTTTTACATGTAGAAAATTATCCTCTTCATTCTTAAGCATCCAGGACAGAAATAATGTATCTACAGCCTTCAAAATTTTATCCTTCCTCCTTGGCCTCAGAAAATGCCTTCCGCGCATATGTCTTAGGAGCATAATAACGATTGTGAACCAAAAAGCCAGGGCGTGGTCGCCCCGCCCACCGGACCAACATCACCGCCCCTCTCACAGCCGTCCGACGCGCAGATTGGCTGAGAGCGAAGGAGAGCTCAGCCCCTGGTCTTGTGACTCAGGCCGGAGCAGAGAGTCCAGGCTTTCGCCGCGCCGTGGTCGGTGGTCACTCGAGTTCCAGCCTCCGGTCCCGCGAGCCTTGTCGCTGGTGTCGCCGTCGCCGCCGTCTCCCCACCCTGAGGGATCATGGTGTGCTTCCGCCTTGCCCCTGTTCTGCGCGTCAAGCTTTTTCTCGTCTGCCTCGCCCTGGGTGAGTTGTCGGGCCCTCCGGGTAGACTCTCCCCCTGGGCCCGGGGCACCGGTTCCGAAAGGCTAGTCCCGGCCTGGGGCCGGAAGGCTCGGCGGCTGACTGGGCGGTGTCTGTGCCCCAGGGAGGCAAGCAGTGACCTAGAGAAGGCCTGAGCAAGAAGCGACGGGAGGAAGGGCCCGCGGGAGTTCCCAGGGTCGGGTCGGGTCGGGTCGGGTCGTTCGGGTCGTTCGGGTCGGGTTGTTCGGGTCGGGTCGGGTCGGGTCGGGTCAGGTCGGGTCCTGTGGGTCGAGTCGGGTCCGGTTGGGTCAGGTCGTTCGTGTCGGGTCGGGTTGGGTCTTTGGGTCGGGTCGGGTGGGTCGGGTCGGTCGGGTCGTTCCAGTAGGTCGAGTCGGATCCGGTCGGGTCCGTTCGGGTCCAGTCGGGTCCAGTCGGGTCCGGTCGGGCCGGGTGGGTGGGTCGGTCGGGTCGCGTCACTTCAGGTAGGGTCGGGTCGCAGTGGTCGGCGAGGGGTTGAAGAGGAGGCCAGTCTGCGCGCCCGGGAGGGAGAGGTGCATCGCGCTGGGAATGACTTGGGGCGCGCTTAGACGGGCGATTACTGCTGGGCGGTATGTGCCGACTCGGGGGCTGCAGAGACTATTAGGGGAATGTTGGTTTCCAAGGGTCAGAAAAGAGTTTTGAAGGTGGTGGGGAAACTACCCAATGATGCAAAACTTGGAAGAGAAGACTACCTGCGTGAAATCGCTGGAAGGAAGAGTGGTGGCGGCGGCTAGGACAGTAGAGTCTGAGGCGCTGCGACAGTGATGCTTTTTTTTTTTTTTTTTTTAAAGACAGGGTTTGACTGTGTAGTTCACTCTGATCTGAACTCACTATGTACCTCAGGCTGCCCTCGAACTCGCGGTGATCCTCTTGCCTCAGCCTCCTGAGTGCTGGGATTACAGGCGAATTCTGGGATTATAGGCAATATGCCACTACACTCCAGTCTTACAGGGGTTTGGTTTGTGCAAAGCAGTTTGAGGCTGTGGAGAAAGGGTGATTAAAGCAATGAGGAATGATGCTGGATTTGAGTTTGCAGCACAGTTTTGAGGGTGAAGGAACCTAGATTGATCAGGGCAGTTTTCATGAGGGAAAATTTTGGCGGGGAGTATCTGCCTTGGAAATATTGAGGATGTAGATTTTGTATCAGGTTTGCTGTTTAAGCCAGATTCTGACCAAAAAAAAGCACCCAGGTGCTTCAGTTGGGAGTTTTCCAGATGGGTGGTTTCGGTGGTTGTGTATCTGAGTTTTGTATGGCATTTCCCTGCCTTCATAGTTAAATCTCTTGCTTTCTTCTTCCCCATCATACATTAGCTGTTACCTGTGTTGTTGGAGGGAGAACATCACTTCAAAGAATTGGGTTGGTCAGAAGAACAGCTGAGTGATGTCAGCTTTGCTTTGCCCTAGTAGATAGTGAGTGGGTAACAGCTAAAGGAGAACTTTGATCAGAATGTCTCTTCCTGACCTGATTCATCCTGTACTTACTAGCCACTGACTCTGCTGTTCCTGACTTAAAAGCACAGAAGGAACAGATCTAGGTGGGAGTAGAGGGAAAATAGACATACTGAGAGGTTCTGAGAAGGCAGTGGGAGGTAAACATTTTATAATTTTATAATTCACATTCCAGTAGAATAGTCAACACTCTGGTTCTCAATCAGGGGATATTTGGAAGTATCTGAGGAGATTTTTGGTTGTGGCAGCATGGGGGAGGGAGAGTGCTTTTGGCATCTAGTACACAGAAGCCAGTGAGACTGCTCAACTTCCTGCAAGTACAGGACAGCCCCTCTTAATGAGACACTTAAAACCGTCAGCACTGTCAAGCTTGAGAAACCCTGCTTCACAACTGAAGTGTTGAATGAGGTCTTGATTATCCAGTCTCCTAGTTCTCTATGACATTTTCTGGGTACCTGTGAGGTCAGAACTTTTCAGAACAATCCTAAAAGGTATTTATCCTTTGCACTCACCATTTTGCCAGCATGCAGAAGCCACAGAATGTGTGATGACATCACCACCCTGATGCCTCTGGCGCTCTTGTGTTGTCTTCATTTTGATCACAGTAACTAGATATAATTCTCATAAACTAATGCTCTTTGGCATCCTTCACAGATAGGTGAATCAAAGCGTCCTGACATGAAAACCTGTGCACATCCTTGATCTAGTCCAGCTGGCTGAGCAGGGCGGGAAAGTGTTCTGTGGGCTTCTGAAATGTGGCCACGAGGTTCTTCCTGAATACTTGGTTTTGGTTCCAAGGATTGGTTGTGCTGTGAAGCACTTTCTGAGGGCCAGCTGACCCTGAGAGAGGCTTGTTTACTGTAGAAAGTACCTATCTGTGACCAGAACACATGTGAGCAAGGTGTCTGTTAACCAGTTGTTCCCTGACTATTGAATGTGCACAAACACAGCACTGTTACTGGTTAGAGAAGGGGAGAAAATAATAGTCGTCCTACTTAGTTGTGTTCATGTCATTAATTTTTTTTTGTTTTTAATGAAGGCTTCTTGTTGTTGTTTTTACAAAAGCAGTGCTTGCTCACTGCACAAAATAAATAGGCAAAAAGAAGCACATGAAAGAGGCTGTCTGCTCATCTGCTAGCTTGCCATTTATTGATCAGGACTGACTAGATTCCTCCTCTTGGAAGATTTCCAAGATTGATTCCAAGTTCAGAACAGGATTTAGAGGCATGAATGTTAATAATGTTGCTAGATCCAGTTTTAAAAAATTCCAGGATGCAAAAGAGACTACCATTTTATGCAGCTGTTTTTTTTTTTTCTCATAGCTGTTTTGGTTCAGTATGGAGCCCAAAGGTCTCCAGTGTACCTTTTTCTGCCTAAAAATTGTTCAATGGGCTTTGCATGTTTTCTTTGAAGGCAGAGTTTCACTTTGTAGTTCATGCTGGCTTTGAAATGACTGATATAGCCCAGGCTGATTTAGAACTCACAGTGATCCTCCTGCCTCGTCCTCCCAATACTGGGATTACAGGCATGTTATTTTTCAATTGCAAGCGCAGTAATACTTGTCAGGTAATTGCTGTGTCCCTGGTGCTATTATGCATGGATCCTGCAGAGGGTACCAGTGAAGGAAGGAGGGTTTTTATTCTGACTTTACAGTCTCATTAGCATACGTGAACAGATTGTGCAAGTTTTACTTTGTGACTCCACTTTGTAATTTTATTGTTGTATTTTGGCTTCAACAGTAGCCTTTTCAAAATAGCTGCTTTGGGGCTGGGGATGTAGCTCAGTGGAGTACTTAAGTGGCATGCATGAGGCATCCTGGGAAAAATACAGCTGTTGCAGGGTTAAGGATAGAAAAGAATTCTTAGTGTGCATGTATTCATCTTTTTCACAGAAATTAAATAGTGCTGACCTTTATTTAAATGAATTATAACCAATTGGAGAACATTCTAGAAAAAAACTATATAATTTATAGGCAGTGGATGAAAATCCTTTCCTAGCATCATTGCTTATTTAATGCTTCCTTTGTAACTTCATAGATTTCAGAATTCTGCGGTTATTGATTCCTATAACTAGCTTGATTTCTGGTTTTTTTGTTGTTATTGAGTGAGGTGATTTTAAAATATTTTGAAGTATTAAAGCTCTTCTGTGTGAGAAGAATTGCCTATAAATATCCTTGGTATGCTCTGTGTGGTGGCGCACACTTGTAAAATTCCAGCCTGTAATCCCAGCACTCCAGAGGCTGAGGCAAGAGGATCACCTCAAATTCAGGGCCAACCTGAACTACATAGTGGGCCTCTGCCTTTAAAAAAAAAATTATATATATATATATATATATCTTCATGTGTACTTCACTGGTGGGAGAGTGTCTCCTTCCCACAAATGTTATTAAATGCCTACTGTGTCCCAGCCACTATACTCCATGAAAGAGACAGAGCAGTGGACAAGACAGATGAGGTTCTACTTTCATGGAACTTAACATTTTTGGGGGGCATGGGTTGAGACAAGGTCTCACTATGTAGTTCAGGCTGTATACCAGGAGGTCCTTGAACTCAGACTCCTGGATCAGTGGTCCTCCTGCCTCAGCCTAACTTCTAGGTTTAAGGCATATAGCACCACCCTCAGTGGTGGAAACTTACATTTTAATGGCAGGAGATAGCCCAACAAGTAAGTAATAGAGTTTCAGATAGTAATGAACACTGAAGAAATCAGATGACAAGGAAGGAGAATGAACAGCTGAGAGAGGTGGGTGACAGGTGATGGGATGACCTGTCATAATATTATGGATCAGAGGACCTTCTGTTGTTGAGGGATATTTGGCCAGAGCCTGGCTGTTGGAAGGAAGGCAATTACATGACTGTTTGGGGAACAAGAATAAATGTTGTCTTTTCTAAACTCTTAGGTTATTACACTAGCCTGTTTTCTGTTTTTTTTTCTCCTGGCTCCTATTATGTCTACTTTTTAGTACAGGAGAGCAGAGACTGTCCTATTTGCTGTGGCCTGACTAGCACCGGGCCTGGTATGTGGTAACACTCAGTAAAAACTATGTCTACAGTATTCATTGGTGGCTACTGGAGAGATGATGGCAAACTAGAACAGCTTGGTCTCCTTTCTCTTCTGTGAACCTTTCTTAAGAGATGTTTCATAAGGTCTTTATATTTGTGGATTGAGAACCTCAATTGCTACAACCAAGTGTAGAACTACAAGATCAATGAGAAAAGTGCTGGTGATTACCGACCAAATTACTGAAGTATAATCTCTTTTTTTATCAAATTTTATTGATACATTTTAGATACACATAATGATCACAGTCATAGAGAGTTTGAACCTGTACATGGTACAACTTCATTTTTTTCTCATTCCCTTTCCTTTTCCTTCCATCCCTCTCCCCTCCCCATTTACATAAATAAGCTTTGTTTCCATTCTTTCTGAAGCATAATCTCATATAATGACAGTAGTCTCCTCCCTTTGCTCCTGCAAATTCAGCCCACACACAACTAAATGGGAAGAATTGGGAA